TTTAACCGATATATATCGATCACATATATCTGTACATACTTATATATATAATATTGATAATTTAACCAATATATATCGATCACAGATATCTGTACATACTTATATACATAATATTGATAATTTAACCAATATATATCGATCACAGATATCTGTACATACTTATATACATAATATTGATAATTTAACCGATATATATCGATCACATATATCTGTACATACTTATATACATAATATTGATAATTTAACCGATATATATCGATCACATATATCTGTACATACTTATATACATAATATTGATAATTTAACCGATATATATCGATCACAGATATCTGTACATACTTATATATATAATATTGATAATTTAACCGATATATATCTGCAACAGTATGCCTACATTAAATAAAACTTTGTAACAGTATGCCAACATTAAAATAAAACACTAACAGTATACCTACATTAAATAAAACTTTGTAACAGTATGCCAACATTAAAATAAAACACTAACATATGCCAACATTAAAATAAAACACTGTAACAGTATGCCTACATTAAATAAAACACTGTAACAGTATGCCTACATTAAATAAAACACTGTAACAGTATGCCTACATTAAAATTAAACACTGTAACAGTATACCTACATTAAAATTAAACACTGTAACAGTATACCTACATTAAAATAAAACACTATAACAGTATACCTACATTAAAATAAAACACTAACAGTATGCCTATAAATACTACTCATGGTAATTATATTCACACTTTATTTTTTCATATTTTTCGATGTTTACACAAAATCAACAGATTGAATACGTCATTGGAACATCTGACTTCCTTCTAAAATTAAAGTTTGAACTTTCATTTGTTTAAGCGTTAAATGTATTGGTTTGAAACATGGTTAGGTTAGGTTTTATCATTCTGCTTGATCCACCACTGTACCGACTCTGTACTGGAGAAGGAATGATTTCGAATTTACTATGTGTATCTGTACGAAATTTGGCAAACTTTAAATAAAATATACAAGTCTGTTGTACTCAACAAGTCAGGTGAGTTACAGAGATATATTTACTCAAGACATATCTGTGAATTGATGACGTCAGTCTGACTCAGACTGTTACAAGGTGGTGTCATGTGAAGAATAAAAATAGGGTTAAACAATAGTCATGCACATACTAGGGTTAAACATATTAGCCACACGTTTCCTGCTTATCTGAAGGGGTTTTATTAACATCTTTAAATGTCTTATTTCTTTACCTTAACTCTCCAAAGAAAGCGATTTACACTACTGTGTCAAGGTAATAAGAATTAGTTTGTTTCAGCTAAAGTATTCACAACTCTTAAAAACAGCTGAAGAAATAACATCATAAGAAACAGTTCTGTGACAAATATTGTTTGAAGTTAATTAATGTTGACCGCAGTCAACGAGATATTTGTTGTCCTGGGTGTGTGTGTTTTGTTTTCTAAATTAGGGTTGATTGAAACCTCACATCAAATGTACCAAAACAGTTTGGTCGTGTAATACTCAGGTCATAAGTTATTTAATAAAAGAATATATCACAGGAAGTCGTCTGAAAGGACAATGTACATAATTAAAAGTCGCTTTAACTGTTTTAATTCCTAATAACTTCTGCTTAGTTTTAGTGTGTGTGTGTGTGTTAAATATATCGTAACATATGTTTTTACGTATTGTGTTATATTCTAACATGGTTTATTTTAATACTTCTTATCATGTTATCTACATTTGAACATGTGTTTTCATGTTCTATATTTCAGTATCTGCTTCCATGTTGTATTTCACCCTAGCACCTGCTCATGTTATCCACATTGTTGTATAGTTAAACACATATGTTAGCCGTCATCTTTACACGGCTAACATATGTGTTCAACTATACAACAAAACACATCGTAAAATGTAAGTAACATCTTTACACGGCTAAAGTATGTGTTTAACTATACTACAAAACACACCGTAAAATATAAGTAACATCTTTACTTAATTATATTTTACGTTAACTATACTACAAAACACAGTATGTGTTCGTAAAATATAAGTAACATCTTTACACGGCTAAGTTGTGTTTTGTAGTATAGTTAAACACATATGTTAGCCGTGTAAAGATGTTACTTATATTTTACGGTGTGTTTTGTAGTATAGTTGAACACATACTTTAGCCGTGTAAAGATGTTACTTACATTTTACGGTGTGTTTTGTAGTATAGTTAAACACATACTTTAGCCGTGTAAAGATGTTACTTACATTTTACGATGTGTTTTGTAGTATAGTTGAACACATACTTTAGCCGTGTAAAGATGTTACTTATATTTTACGTTGTGTTTTGTAGTATAATGAAACACATACTTTAGCCGTGTAAAGATGTTACTTATATTTTACGATGTGTTTTGTTGTATAGTTGAACACATACTTTAGCCGTGTAAAGATGTTACTTACATTTTACGATGTGTTTTGTAGTATAGTTGAACACATACTTTAGCCGTGTAAAGATGTTACTTATATTTTACGGTGTGTTTTGTAGTATAGTTGAACACATACTTTAGCCGTGTAAAGATGTTACTTATATTTTACGGTGTGTTTTGTTGTATAGTTGAACACGGTAAAGATGTTACTTATATTTTACGGTGTGTTTTGTAGTATAGTTAAACACATACTTTAGCCGTGTAAAGATGTTACTTACATTTTACGATGTGTTTTGTTGTATAGTTGAACACATATGTTAGCCGTGTAAAGATGTTACTTACATTTTACGATGTGTTTTGTTGTATAGTT